AAGTAAAAGTGGACATTATACTTCAATGGAAATAAAAGAAAATTGAAGATAAAGGTTCTTAGACCATCACCTAAGAGTTTCAGCATGTACATTGGTTCTTAGTTTCACCTAAGGTTCTTAGACCATCACCTAAAGAGAACAACATTAAGAAACTACAATAAGTAGATATAAAAGAAAAACTACATGCTAAGTCCTCTACTGCAGAAAACTCTATTTATTTATTTATTTTTCTGAAAACATATTTGCTTGCCTGAGAAAGTCCTTTAAGATGGATTTCTCCCTGAGCACCTTCCAGTATTTTAACCTGGGGATGTTTAGGATCCAAAAGATCATAAGCATGTTCTTGTATCACCTCATAGAAAGAGACAGCGACTGACTTCCCAAATTTCATTGCTTCTGAAAGAATTTCAGACATTGCCATTACTGCTAGACCTGGTTTTTCTTAAGAGCCCTTCAATGGATCCAAACATGAAAATAAGAATACAATGTTTTCTCCAGTTATAAAAGAAGAAAATGAAAAAGAGGTTTAAAAAACCACCTGGATAGTGCAAGTTTTCCCACTTCATCTTGCCCCAAGAGCAATAACAGATGCATTTCGACCATCCAAGACCTCTAGAACCACGGGTTGTATTTCTCTCAAATATATCAGGCCAATGTCTTCATCCTGCACATAGCAATAATCCAGTTCGTAGGGATCCTTGCGACTAATACATGACAAGAAAAAATAAAATTAGGTCCATCCAGAACTATGAAACTGAAATGTCTTAAGATCAAAGTTTCTTTTCCTAAACATTCTAGATGGCCAATTAAATCGCATAAGAACACGAGCTATAAATTGCATAAGAACACAAGTTAGAATATAATCCATGAATTATATGGATAAAAAATAATTTGCTAATCATGAAGGGTTCAGAATTTTCATAACTAATCAAGGTCCACATTTCTTCAATTGTAAAAGACGCTAACAGTTGGTGAATTAACTAGTAAAGCTTACCCTAGAAAATCAAGATCGTAAATTAAATAGTCAAAGAACAGATTTTGTGATTTGGGTATTAAAGAAAAGTGAAAAATCATCACTGCATAATCATATTTTCTCATACCAAGATCACTATACTGCCTGATTTCTGGATCCAATGTTTCCACATTTGGAGTGTGGAACTTTCCGATTCTTGTCTCATATAAATTCCTTGCATCTACCAGTACTAGTTTTTTATCAGAACCAAAACTCTCTTTTTCTTGAAATTTTCCTGGAAAAAAATCTAAAATTAAAATTTGTCCACAATAACTTCTGTATTTTCCATCCTTAACGTCAAGCATCAAATATCACAGATGAACTCCAATACATTAAACAAAATGTACAATGTAGTGAGACTTTTAAAAATAACTTGAAATAAATCATATAGCGCTGATAAAATCAAAGCTCTGTTATGTAAAAGAAAGGGTTGGTCAATATACCCTTCCATTTTCCTTGGCATACTTAGATTGAGTTGATCCACACCCACCCAGCCAAAAAATGTATTATTCCAAAAGTACAGGCACAGAACAAAGAAGAAGAAAAAAGAGTCTGATGGGACAAGAGAAGAAAAAGTACCAGAAATCAGAAGCACAGAGTGGAAATCAGCCGAATTTTGCATCTATACAGCATCTGAAATGTCAGGATACTTC